TTTTTAATTAAGGGAAAAATTTTAAAAAGCAGGATATATTGTTATAGTAACCCACTTTGATTTCCTATTAACTTAATCTGAAACCCTGTATAGCCCTCACCATCTTGCTTTGACTGATTTTCCTCTATTCTGCTTTGCAATAGTACCAAGTTCGAAAGTATAGGCAACAACTGTAAAGACAATAAGATTCATTATGACGCCCATTCCCGTTGACTATTATCTTCTTTTAAAGCCCTGTAATGTCTCCAATGTTTTGGTTTTATTCTTTACTGTTTTGTTCAATTTTATTATAACTGATAATATAGGCAATTCTTTTTAAGATAGCAAGAGGCAGTATGGTAACCATTGTTGATCACCTAGTATTTTGTTTTTACACTATCTATTATGTTCATCCTTTTGATTTGACTGACTCTGTTCTGTTATGTCACATTTGGTTTTACTCTCTTCAAAAAAAAGTAATAAGAACTGTGGGAGTAATAAAACCCAAAATGTGTAATTGTCATTGTACAAAAGAAAGGAAAAGAAAGTGCTCTAAAGAATATAACCGCATATATATTTAAGTGTATAAGATAGATAACCATATTACTGAGTTTTGTTGGATCATTGAACAAAACTGTTTCCAGCCTCACTGTTTGAAAGTCCACTTTATATGCTTTAATTTTGTAACTTGAACAACTATTTCTAAGATAATATGTAATCTATTAACTAGTGATTTCCTATTATTTATTTTTTCTGAAATTCTGTATAACTTGTACCCTATTTCTGCTTTTTTTTCTTTTTCTCCTTAAAAAAAACTGTAAAAAAAACAGTATAGTTGAGACAGTGTGTTGACTTTTTAATTATGTGTGATTATAAACTATCTCAAATATAAATAAACAAAAGAGCATAATGAAGGAAAGATACTAGGAAACAGAAGGTCAGACATTTTGGAGATGGGGAAGGAAACTCAGAAAAGGGAAAAGAATAGAGAGGAAATAAAGGTATCAAAATGATCAAGACATGTTACATATGTGTACTAGTTCCCCAATATGAATTTAACCATTATATATTCTAAATGTACAACTAATAAAAAAGGATGAAATTCTTAAGTAAAGCAAAATATAGAAACAAAAAATAAAGTATCTCTGCCTATCTACAGTATTACATTAATTTTTGCTATGAGACCAGAAGCAAGTGACCAATACCTTCAGAACTTCTGATCCAATGAAATAATATTTTTTTTCAAACAAAACTTTCATCAGTATTGAGAAGGTCCCTGTTAAAATATCTGTGCTTGTTTTTGGTAGAACTGGATAACAGTGTGAGACTTCTTTACAGTCTCTCCAAGGCAACTTCAAGCTTCCCATTCTGATGAAGCCTTTTCAGGAGCATCCTAGTTCCTAAAACTCCAAGAAACTGCAGTTTCCAGTTTAAGACCATCTCTTAAATTCTTTTTCCCATGTTGCTTGAAAACAGCACCTGAGCCAGTGAGGATCCACAGAAAGGAATCAGGATGGCAGACTGAGCAAGACTGGAGGCAGCAGGGCTAAGGGAGAGTTGCCACATTTGCTGTTTTCTGAGGAATACACAGTGGGTGTCTTAGGCCTGAGATTGCAGGAGAAAAGACAACCGACGTGAGGGGTAGGGGAGGTAGGAAGTTCATTCTTCTTAGAGTTAGGTGGATCCCAGAGCTCTGTTAGAGAGCAGCATTGCTATGGAAGAATACTTCAGTCAGGAAGCCTGGCCACTGAACCATAACTACAATAACACTGTTGCCTTTCAGGAAAGAAGAAAGGCCCAGAAGGAGTCTCATAGCTCAGTTAAGAGGCAAAGGGAAACATTCCATCTTTTTGGCTACATCCATATGTGGGAGACACAGAGATTTAAACCAGGGTAAGAAGTTTCTACAGATAAAGTAAAGACAAAATGCAGGACTTGGGCATAGGTTGTAGCCTATGGGTAAAATCCACAGTCAGATTTCAAAAGATACATGAAATTCAGATCCCAATGGAGTGGAGACAGTCAAGTATTCTGGGGTGGGAAATTAGGGTAGGAAAACATCTGAAAAAGAATAAATAGTCTCCTTTTTATTTTTGCATGTACAGAGATGCCTTTGGAAAGATTTTCAAGAAACTGTGAACAGTGGTTGCCACAGAGAAAGGGCATTCGGTGGCAAGACAGAGGACAATATTTTTATTATTTTAAACAGAATAAAACCAAGCAACACAAAACAGAATAAATCCAATCAAAACAAACCACTGTAAGTGACCCAGGAGTTGAAAATAATACAAAATCAACAATGGTTACCATAATGTCTCTTGTTGTCTTCAAAATAGCTACAGATACCTTCAGACATAATAAAAATCAAACAAAACAGAACAGAATATAACCAATAAAAACAAAACAATGTGAAATAAAGGACTTCAAAACAAGGCAATAGTAAATCCAAAATGGCTACCATAATATATCATGTTATCTTTGAAATAGCTGTTCATGCCTTCAGATACAACAAAATCAAACAAAGCAAAACAGAATAAAACTCAACCCCACAAAAAATTGAAAATGATACAGGACTTCAAAACAAGATAATAGGGAATTCACAATGGCTACCACCTTCAGAACGAGATCCCCCATAGATGCCACGCTGCATACCGTGATCCTCTGAATATGAATAGATGAGCAGGCCACCAGCCCTAGACCCGCAAAGTCAGTGAAACACCAAACACCACACATATTAAACTGCATTTCATCTGAATAGCTATCACCACGGCCTGTGTTTCTTTGGATCAGCCAATCACTTGGTGTGAAGAGGGGTTGGCTCTTCTTGTTTTCCAGCCTGGATGCCAGAAGGGACTGGGATCTTGCTGTTCTCCTGGCAGCAGCAGCTGATACATGGCACTGGTTCACAGAGAGGGCTTGCTTCTTGGTGACTTCTTGTTCTCTTCTCCTGCAGCCTACAAATGACACTGACTCACAGGAAAAGGCTGGAGTCTGGCTGCTCCCCCAGCAGTGTGGCCCACACATGGTTCGCAGGGAAGGCTTGCTTCTTGGTGATTTCTTGTTCTCTTTTCCCTCAGTCCATGAATGGCACTGACTCAGTAAAAGTCTGAGGGCTGGCTCCATAGAATTTTTAACCACATAGTTATACTTGTTGGTTCCCCTTCTGTTCAGAATCATTACTTGAATAAGTACCAAGCATCAAAGCCACACTAGGCCCATCTAAAGATGAAATATTGGAGTGTAGGGATTTGGGGAATCTCATTAGACCTGGGGGAGCTCAGAGTCTTTGCTGGATGACCTCTGAAGAATTTTTACTGGGATGATATCCTTTAACCTTTTGATTTTTCCAAGGACTCACACAACTTGTAAGTCATGAATTATTTTTTCTTTGTCTGCCTTGAAATATCACAGTGGTTTAAACCCATATTCTCTAATCCAAGTTCTTTATTCTTTCTACTCCTTAACAATTGTTTTCAAATTGCCACATTCATCCAGATAGAAACATATCTGCTGAAGATGTTTCTCCCAGTTGAACCCAGGGCTAGAATCAAATCTAAAGTATAATCAGGAAAACTTTCAGAAAGAAATACTTCAAACCATGCCATGATGGGAGCAGTTGGGATTCCAAAAAAAGTAACATGAAACACTAGAGTAATCTATGTGATATACAGAAAGAACTGCAGAATCCTCAGAGTACACAGCAAGACATCCATCCACCTAGAACATCAGTCTTGTGCAGGACAGGTTATGGAGTATTATATAAAGGCTTAAAGAACTTCGTTCAGGGCAGAAGCTAGTCCCTATATGTTTAGAATCAACTTCTGTTTTTTCAAGCAACAATTTAAACAAGTGTATCAGTTCCAGGGAAAATTCAAGGCATCAACTGAGTACAAGTCTGCAGGAGAAAACATGCAACTGGCTGCATCCCAGAGGTGTCAAGGCACTCTGAGTTTCTTAGTCAGGACACAAAGAAAGTGGGGAATGGGGAATCCTATAGAACAGATGACTAAGAAGGAAGGATAGAGCTCACCCAAGTGAGTGCATAATACTTGTCCATCTATGCTTCCCATTCCTCTGAGCTCTGACTGAACATGAAACTAGAGGACTTTCTTCAAATTAGAAGCTAAAACAATTGATCCTCAGAAATGACTGACCTTTTTCATGGCCTTAGAACTATTAGGAAGGTGATGTTCAGCTTTCCCTTTGAAGAGCGTCTCCGAGCTATCTTGAGTCTAACAAGCGATGTAACAATAGCCAATGTATCTTCATCACCACCACCTTTGTCATTAGGACTGGCACAGTGTATGTACAATATTCTCAGCCACATTCATTCATCTTATCCCACCCTCTCAATAATTCCCACTGGGATGACTTTATTACTCATTTTAGAGATACTGAAACAGATGCAAAAATGTTTGTAACTTGCCCGTCTTCAAAAGCCTGATTGCAATAAGATCCTAATGGAAACAAATCTACTATCCCTGTACTACCTCACAAGTTCATACAAGTTCAGCTTGTATGTCAATAAGGCTACTGCTTAGATTAAGCACTGCTTTTAATGGTAGCCTGAAAGCCAAAGAAACTGCCATATCCAACTTCATTATTACTCTGGGTTCTTGAACTCTCCTGGAAAATATGTATTTTTGCTGCAGCAGCTGCTGACCCTATATTTCCAAGGCGTCTCTAATCGCTCACTATTCCACATGAGCAATCACTTTCCCATGCAATACTTTCCCTTCTTCACCATGCCAAACTCCTCCTTTCCAACCTGTTTGCTCACTCCTCTCTTCAAGAACACCTTCACACAGATAAATAAAACCTGTCATCCCAGTCTCTCCATTTCTGTAGGGCCTTCCCATCCCTGAGAAAGAGGTTAAATGGTGCCCAGTTGGCCTCCCTGTCTTGGTCAGGTTTATGTGCCCTGCCTCTTCCACATGCCACCATTACACTAGTGTCTTAATTCACTGTCACAAAATACCCATCTAACAGAAGTGCCATAAACAAAGGAAACTGAGACTGACTGAGAATTTCAAATGCAGTTTATTGCAGCATAACAAGGAAACAGGGAGTTGAATACCACTCGATGAAAGACAAACAACTTGCATACACCTTATATACAAAGCCAAAGCAGCACAGAGCTTGCTGCAGAAGACAAGATACTGAGGCACTGACCAGAGCATTGCTCTAAGCATGGCAGAGAAGCCCTGGATCCAATGGTCCTCCTCTGGCTGGAAGAAGGAGGCTCTTTGAAATGTTATTTGTGTCATGGTAATTGCTGAACTGTTTCTCAGGCAAAGCACAAAGCAGGGTGGTAACCAGGGCTTGAGATTGCCACTGGCCTTAAAATTTTTGAAAGCAGAGCGGAAAAGAAAGAGCAGGGGCAATTGGATGGACTGGTGTATCTAACCATAGCTCTTTTCTCTAATAAGGCAGGGCAATTGACCTTAATCTCGCCAACCTTATTTTGTGGTGATAGAAAGAGGAGAGCTAATGGAATAGAGAGTGTATTTATCTGGAATAAGTGGAGGAAACAAATTTTATGCTAGAACTGCCACTAGAGCTTTTGTGGCCTCCAGAGCTGGATCCTCGACCTCCAGAGGAGCTAAAGCCGCCTCCAGAGCTGCCCCGGCCTCCGCCAGAGCTGCCACCACCTCCTCCAGAGCCACCTCTGTGGCCTCCGCTGCTGCCTCCGGAGTAGCTACCGCCGCCGCCTCCAGAACCAGAGCCTCCACCGTAGCTACCGCCTCCACCACCACCTCCAGAGCTGTAACTGCCACCTCCGGAGCTGTACCCTCCGCCGCCTCGGACACTGCCTCCACTGATGCTGGTGTGGCTGGTGCTCACAGCTGCAAAGAGAGACTCCGTTATCTTCAATTCCACCTCCTTTCCAGCCCATCGGAATCCACACCCCTGAGAAATAAACTTGTACTTACACACGCTAACGTTGGGGGAACACTCTCCAGACATCCTATAGGATTAAAAAAAAAATCCTCAAAATATTGCTGCCTCACACAGCTCCTCCACACCCTCTCAGCTACCTCCATGACTCCCCAGCTGAGGAGCCCCCAATCCACTCCATTGGAAACCTACCCCAGGCCCTCTGGTCACCCAAAACACTATCATCTGTCTTGCCTGAGTAGAGACTTGGAGAAATCATCACATAAATTAGACAAGCGCTAACAAAGTCCACCTCTAAAGGAATGGACTTTATGTCAGATGACATCTGAATCAGGCCAAATGAAAGATGAATTCCTCCATCCCAAACATAGGAATGTTACAGCTGGAGGAAGGAAAGAGGAAGGGGAGACGAAAGGAGAGAGAGACAGAGAGAGAGAGAGAGAGAGAGAGAGAGAGAGAGAGAGAGAGACAGAGAGAGAGAGAGAGAGAGAGAGAGAGAGAGAGAGAGAAGGAAGGAGAGCCAAAAAGGAAAAGAAAAGTTAAATTTGGAGCTATGGCCCCAGAGTGAAACCTGTCTACTTTTCATTGCCCCAAACCCAGGGGAGCTGCAGTCTGATGGCTGTGTCTTCAGTGACAGTCAGCTTGCAACGAGGAAAGCCTCAAGAAGTTATGGAGCTGCCTTCCTCACCTGATTTCCTCTCCCTCCAGGAGGGTCCTGTAGGTGGCAATCTCCAAATCCAAGGCAAGCTTGGTGTTCATGAGCTCCTGGTAGTCACGCAGCAGCCTGGCCAGGTCCTCCTTGGCCTGCTGCAGTGCATCCTCGAGCTCATTCAGTTTGTTCTGGGCATCTTTGAGTGCCTTCTCACCACGCTCCTCAGCATCACTAATGGACTGCTGCAAGTTGCTAATCTGAGAAAGGAGAAAAAGTATATCATACCTATTCAAATTACCTACCCCCACCTTGACCTTCCCATTGCAGATCACCTCTCATCTGGTGAAGCCAATAGACTGAGTCTCACAGAACCTTACTGAACCTTACATTATCTCTGGCCAGCACAAAGCTATGCTGACTTCCTTCAAATACTTTGGGTTGAAGCCTCTCCTGGTCTTGAGTCAAGGTTCCTCCGGCCCTTACCTCTTCACTGCCTCCCCTCTCCTCCTCAGCTCTGAAGTCTTACTTTGGTCATGGACTAGATCATTCATACTGATCACCACATCTTTCTCTACTAAGTCATTTTCACAAATTTTTCTTGAGAAAACTCCACATGATAGCTAAATTCTGGAAACCAACAGAGTAACGAAAGGAATTGAGGATACTATGTCACCTTGGTGTGGATTGTAAGACTTAAAACTAGAAAAACCTCTCAATTGTCTGATGGTTATCCCTGATTTCATGCAACTAAGCATGGGCAAGAAAGTACCTGTTTCTTGACACTGTCAATTTCAGATCTGAGTCTCTGGATCAATCGATTCAGCTCAGAAATCTCCATCTTTGAGTTTTTCACACTGTCACCATGTTTGCCAGCAGTGATCTGCAGTTCTTCGTACTAAAGACGGTAGGTGACATGAGTTAGATGGGACAAATATAAGAAATAACATGGAACAGCAAGGTGAGACATTCTTGGGGAACTAGCTAGGCAATCAGGCATTCACCTTGGTCTGGTACAAGGCCTCAGCCTCAGCTTTACTCCTCTGGGCAATGTCTTCATACTGGGCCTTAACTTCAGCAATGATGCCATCCAGGTTCAGGTTGCGATTGTTGTCCATGGACAGGATGACATTGGTTTCACTGATGTGAGTCTGCATCTGAGACAGCTCCTATAGGAGTTACATACTAGGTCAGTGACTCATAGTGCTAAAACAAAAAAATACTGAGACAGAGAACTCAGGAGGTAGGAGATAAATTTCTATTCCTCTGGAAAGCAATTGGTTTAGGCTCAAAGACCCCATTTAGGTAGGTTGAAATTAGAGTACTCACTGCTTCATAGAGTGCTGTATAGAAGTCAATTTCCTGCCTCAAAAGGTCAACTTTTGATTGAAGTTCTACTTTGTTCATGTAAGCAGAATCCACATCCTACAAGAATAAAGGATAACATGAAGCCTATTCTTTCCATAATGCATCCCTCTCTTTAGCTATGAAACTGTCTTCTAAGTATAAGAGAAATTTGAAATCTTTTACACTCCTTTTTGCTCCAAAGACATCACAATCCCCATTCCTCTTCTGGAATCACAATCCAAGGAGCTTTCCTATCTGACTGAGACCTTACTTTGCCATTTAGTACAGGAAATGCTAGAAATATAGAGAAGCTAGATTAGGTCCATGGTAATATGAACAAACAACTCTGCTCCAGATTCAGCAGCCCCACTACTTAGTTCTCTAAGTTCACCATGGACTCTTTCTGCATATAATTGGAGATTCTCTTCTATTACTTATTTTAGAACTAAATTCCATCCTACAAAATTTGCTTACCTTCTTGATAGTCACAAATTCATTCTCTGCATTTGTCCGCTTATTGATCTCATCCTCATACCTGCAGGAAAGCAGAAGTGGTTAGAGAAGGGCAGTCTGAAGCCCAGGATTCTGAATTAAAAGGAGCATTGCCTGTCATTCCCTTTCTATTGCCAGATATTTGGTCATCTGTTTTTCCTGAGTGATAAAATCCTTAAACTTTTTCCACCTCTTGAAAACATGATTTCTGGAATTGTCAAATTTATTTGCCTCTGACTTAAGGCAGGCATAGTCACATACTGCTACATATTCTTAGCTTATCCTCCTCTGGAAATCTCTTACAGCAAGAGTCAAGAACTCCCTAGCCAGTCTTCCTTACTTGTTCCGATAATCCTCCAACAAGTCTTGCATGTTCTTCATTTCTGAGTCCATCCGAGATTGGTCACTCTTCAGCTGGTCCAAAATCCTTCTGAGATCACTAATATAATTCTCAAAGTAGGGCTCTAAATTTTGGGTTCTCGTGGAGGTGTCCACCTGCTGCAGCAGCTCCCATTTTGTTTTCAGTACCTGGTTCTGCTGCTCCAGGAACCGCACCTAAAAATACAAGACCCATTATCCTGGTGCAGAAAAGGGGAACCATCACCACTGAACGAAGCCAGTGCCTCATTTGAAAAAGACCTTTAATTCCTATTTGTTCATCAGAAAAACAGGAAGAAGGTCAACTTAGTACTTTCTTCATACAAAAAACCCAACTTATTCTTAATTCAGTGAAGCCTTGGAAGGAAGTACTTATACAATAACAATAGCCAAACATATATAAAATTAATGCAATTATGCTTTGAGAAAATACATGCTATTTCCGAAATCTACTTTCCAATTTTTTAGGTAGCTAGCCAATAAGAGTTAATTTTCATGAACTGGATATATATGCAGTTAAAAATTACATTGGGAAAATACCAGATTTGGACTTGAAATTTATTGTGGATAACTTTGGATTGACCTTATTCACCATTAGGCAGAAAAGTGAAAAATAGTTTGAACATTCTTTCAGAACTGATGATTGGAATTGTTGGTATAAAAAACCTGCACCCTAACCTAATACCAATATAAAATTCTCAGAGGCAGAGCTCTCCTCTGACAGCAAAAGGTGTTTGGCACTGACTTACTCTTTGCTTCTGCAGCCAGCACAAGTCACTCTGTTCACAATCATTTCCCTTTCTATGGCTCAGTTTTCTTTGCACATATCAAATTTCTTCTAGCTTTGTTTCTATTTTCTTTATTCAGCTCAAGAGTGTCAGTTCAGCTCCAGAGCTAAATAAGGCACACTTAAAAGTAAACATAAAACTGACCCATGCTTAGCTCAATCACAGGGAAGTCATTGTCCAAGGGAGGTTAGTCATTAGCAAGATTCCCAAGCATCTTTCCAATGTATCTCCTAGAAGCCCATTCCACAAAGTATCCTTCCAGCAGTCCAAACACAGAAATGTAAGTTAAACCCACATACATCTTGGATGTTCCAATCTCAGAGAAAACAAAACTAGCTCTCTCAGAATACTGAGCAAATAAACTCACCTTGTCAATGAAGGAGGCAAACTGGTTGTTGAGTGCTTTGATCTGCTCCCTTTCTTGAGATTTTACTTTTTGGATTTCAGGGTCAACCTCCACATTGAGGGGTTGCAGAAGGCTCTGGTTGATGGTGACTTCATGTATACCACCAGGAGGAAAGGCAGGCCCGAAACCACCTCCATATCCACCTCCTCCAAAACCACCTGCACCGCCAAAACCACCACCACCAAAACCACTACCGCCAAAACCTCCACCGCCAAAACCACCACTGCCAAAGCCACCACCAAAGCCACCACCACCAAAGCCACCACCTCCAAAGCCACCACCTCCAAAACCACTACGACCACCTCCTCTAGCCACACTGATGGAGATGCTCTTGCTGCCACCAAGGTTGACAAGACTCCTGCTTCCAAAACCAGCACCACCTCCTCCACTCCTGCAGAATCCTCCTGAATATCTCCCACCACCTCCTCCACTGCGGCGCACAGAGCTGCTAGAGGATCTCTGGAAACTGACCAGCCCTGCAGAGCCAGAACTGTAACCCCTTCCACCACTCCGGCACACAGACCTGGAACTACACTGCCGGCTCATGTTGGCTTACAGAGTAACAGGAGGAAAAAAGAGAAGAAAGGAGCCAAGCACTCCTCTGTTCTGAGCCTTGAGACTTTGCCTTATATACAGAGAAGAAATTGGGCTTGGTCCTCCAGAGTCAGCGCAGATGCAGCACCTCTAAAGGGTTTGGTTGCCTGCAGCCATACAAGATTTTTTTTACGAGCCCCAACAGCACGATAAACACTACACACCTATCTCCCAGAATGAGCTCTTGAAATTGCTGTGCAGGCAAGATTGACTCGTGTGGTAATCATTTTATCAGACAAGATCTCTATTCAAGCATTTGTGGCTTTAGAAAATAAGACCCCACATCTGCTACCTGCTGTCTCTTAGAAGGATTTCATAAGTGCTGTCATAAATGTGTGAGTTTCTATTCTTGCCTTGCCCTTGTAAGCTACTAAGCACACTCTCACTGGGAGCAACAGGTGCAACACTCCATGTCTGCATCTCTGAAGGAGCTCTCTGGTTTAGCTGAGACCTACCCCACCCCACCCCCAGCTCCAAAGCTCACCAAGTTACATCTCCTGATGGAGGTTCAGGGCTTTAACACTAAAAACATAAATGTTTTTTAATGCTAGCTTTTATAAATGTGCTGCATTGATTGACTGAAAGAAAAGGAGCTGTCATCAAACAAGATGGATAGATAGGTATTCTGGAAGGACCAGAAAGGAAAGGCATGTTCTGTTCTAAGTTCCCCAGTTGTTCCTTTTCTCCAAAGACAGATCAGGGCAGGCATCAAACAACAGAAACATCAACAATGGAAATCAGATATGAATGAGTAGCTCACAAAGACCAGTGGAAAAGGATGTGGAGCAGTGAGATGAGGAGATATGTGATAGATTTGATATTTCACACTGTATAGTAAAGAAAGATGAGGATAATTTAAAGAGAGAATACTACTGGGAGTTTTCAAACCTGATCTGAGAAGTTTGCATCATTCCTAAAGTGATTATAATACTGACAAATGTTGTTGTTGTTGTTGATGATGATGATATCAAAGCTCAACCATGCACTAAGTACTGTTCTTCATGTGTTATATGTAGCAACTCAATTTTTACAACAGCTTTATTTTTTAAATGAGGAAGCCAATACATGGAATATGAAAAGACTGACAAAGTCTACATAGTGTCATTGAGATTTAAACTGAGGATGTTTAGCTATACAGTGTGCAAGACCCTAAACCTACATGTTGTAGACAGCACAACAGCTGAGTTCAAGTCTCCCTGTCTTCTGAAAGTAAATCCAGATAGCATGGGAAGATAGCATAGCCCCTCCTATGGAAGGCTCTGAGGACAAAAAGCCTGGCAAATACAAGTACTTTTTGATTCACTTGGAAAAATCTGAGAGATTGGAGATGCAGAGTTGAGGGCTATGCTGTTTCCATGAAAGAGGACCCAGCATGGTTTGCAATGGGACAGGAAACCCCAGGACCTTCCTTGAGAGTATCATTTGATCAATATAAGTGGAAAGTAGTGGCATTGAGATCTGGAAAGATCAGAATCCTACACAGAGTTCCATTTGAAGACTTCTTAGAAGCCTGGTATATTCTCCTGTACTTGCATATAAGCACAGAATGGAACAGTCAGTAGGAAGAAGGCTGCTCTAATTTCAGCTGTCTACCAGCAGTTCTGTGAAAAGCAAGTCATTTACTTGCATGGGAAGTGTCCACTCTGGAATGCAAGATCTGCAGAAGGAATGTTATGAAGACCATTTGAGCCCATGGCTCTGTGGCTCTGAGCCAAGACACTATCTTTGCCCTCTGCACCCCTTCCTCACTACCAATCATTCTCATTCCTCTCTTCCCACAGCATTTGCCATATGCCTTCCTCCAGAAATGACCCTCATCTCACTATTCCTCCCCTCCCCCATCTCCATGGTACATTGTCTGGGACTCCATATTAGCACTAACATCCTTAGGCTGCTAAACCAATCATCTCTTTAGGGAATGAGTAATCCAAGTCTTGGGAACAATGGGGACTGGGATAGTCTTGGCATAATAATAATTGTTGCCTAATATCTTGTGACAGGCATCAAAATTCTTTTAGTTCAGCATACTCCCTGTGAGACATATCATTCTATACAATCGATTCCTTCTAGCATTTGGGAAGAGTGTGTGTACGTGTACACATGCATATTAGTGTGCATGTTTGTGCCAAAAAAAATCAGAACTTTGCAACGATTTGTGCTTGCAAACTAAGAAACTGACAGAGAAAAAAAGAGGCAATAGTTAACAATTGACAATTTATAGAGCTGCAAACATGGAAAATCAGGAGCTAGAATCAACAAGAAGGTATAAAAATCACCATCAACTTACATCTGCATAGCTCACCTCCACCAAGCATGTACACAAATAACATCCCCACAAGATCCCTGAGAATTAGGCCATCAAGCTACTTCAAAGCAAGTATACAAACTGAGACACAGAGAGATTTGCTCTACTCTCAGCTAGGAAAAGACACAGCTGGCACTAGATCCTTGGTTTTCTAGTAATTGTCCTCCTACACTGGAAAAGAGATGCAAAGAAACTCATTGGTGCTGGTTCCTATAGATGAATGCAGAAAGTAGCAGAATATTACCATTTATGAGTGCTCAAAGACCTCACTATCTAACTCTCCTAGCATAAAATAAGAACATGAGCCCAAGGAAGTAAACAAATTTGTCCTGCCCCTACTATTGATTCCTGGGAATCTTCTAGTTACTGAATCAGATTCTTTTACACTGCTCACTTTTGAGGCAACCCTGTAGGAATGGCAGTGCTGTTATTTAACCAAGTTCATCATTTCCTTTAATGTCCTTACGATTGTGATGGGTGCATGAGGATGTTAAAAATCACACATGCAGTAAGGGTGCATACCCTCACTACTGCCTTACGTATTTACTCTATATTTTCCAAGTAAAGACAAAATGAAAGAGCAAAGAGACCGTAACATCTATAAACTACCAACTACAGATAGAAGCAACATCTCACTTAAATTTCACAAAAAAAGCCTTAAGCTGGTAGTTACTAGGCTTAGAAAAGACAGTTTGAGTTCACAGAGGTTAAAATGTGTACCCAAGATCACCCAGCTGGTAACTGACATGCCAAGCTTGTCCAACTCCAGAAAAATACCTCTTATCCTTGGGTTGCCTTCCTTCACTGCCTGTATCACCTACACCTTTCTCTGCTCACTCTGACACCCACCTTCATGATGTGACCCTTCCTCCACAATTCTTTGCCTAGATTGTTCAACCCTTCTCTCTTTCTCTCCATTTTCCCACTCACTCCTATTTTTCTTTTCTCTGTAAAACCTCCAGTTGCCCTGGCAACTCTCTTCAAACTCCTTCCCACTATCATGTTCTGGGACCTCAAAGATCTCAAGACCTGAGCTTTTCACCCCGAGTCTGCTTTTAGCCCACCACCCCTTGAGTGTCAGTGTGTTTTTCCTCCTGCTCCATGGGGCTAAGACCAAGCCCAATTCCCATCTCCTCCAGGAAGTTCTCCTTGGTTAATATTACATAGCTGCTCTCTGGGTTTATTTTCTTGAGGTCAGTTTTTACAAGGTCCAAGTGCAACTGATGCATGCATTAGCCCATTTGCATGTGTATCTCTGTGTGTGTTTTTGACCACCCACTTCCAGTTGGAAGTAAGACTTTTGGAAGCAAGACTGCATCTTCAATGTCTTTGGCTGTCCTCCCAGACTCCCACCTGGCTCTCTGCACTTGAAGGGTACCCCAAGCAGAACTAGATGGTACAGTGCCACACTTGGGCAGGACTGATATTCCAGCAGTGATGGCTAGGGTTGCCACAGGCAGGCTGCAGGGCATGGGCAGGGGCAGGCGTGTGATATTTTGAGAGCTTTTTAAAGGAGGGGCCTGGAAAAGAATTGAAGAAAGGCATGCAATGACAAGCCACCCAGCCCTGCGGGACTCCACCAGAGATGTGGGAGAGACAATTTCAGGGGAGTGGGGAAAGTCAAAGTCTGGGAGGAGTACAGGGGAGTCTTAGACAATGGGGAGGCGGGTGAGATGTTGAAAGCAATAAGCAGCAGAGGAGGGGCCCAGGCTTTTTATGTAAGAAGAAGTGCAAAAAGAGGGACAGGCTCGACAAAGATAGACGGCAAGGAGGGAAGCCCCAGAGCCACTCACAATAGTGCGAAAGCAGAACAGAGGGCAGGCAAGAGGAAGCCAAAGATACACACGTAGGACAGAGGCAGCCATGGAGTCAGCCAGTCCTGTCTTCTCTCCTGGCTGCACCTTTCTAGCCGTAACTAGGCAGGTCACTATCCTATATTGAGCCTAAATTTTCTCCTTTGTAAATGAGGACTATATGTGCCTTCCAAGGAGACTGCAAAGTATATGTGACAATGAAAAGAGGAAAGGCTCTCTTTTATTCTGTATTTAAAAGGCCCCAGAAAATGATATAACAGAAAAACTTTGGGACAATCCCATTTCATTGGAAACAGTGTAAAGACTAGGAAAGGAAGTTTAAGTTTTTGAAATGAGATCATCATGTGAGGGAAAGCCTTAAGGGACCCATAAAGCTGTCATAGGGAAGCCATGGGCCCAACATTTAGAGGTGGCACTGAGTGCACCTGACACTGAAGAAGGCTGAGGCCAGATGCCAGGAGCCTGCACTCACTTCAAGGAGAGCCTGCTTTGCAGGGAGAGCACCAGCCTCATGCTTAGCTCCTTGGGCCACAGTGAGAGTGCTGCCAGGTTTGGGATTGAGCTATTTGGAACCAACTGTGTATGCTGTAGAAATTCCCAACATACCAAGTTCCCAGTCTCACCCACTGATAGGGTGTTGATCAACTTGAAGATATTCCATTTCCTGGATTGATAGCAAACTGATAAGACCCGGACAGCAGATGCAAAACACCATAGGAGTTACACTGAGTTTGAAGAGAGATTGTTGGACTGCTTTCATTAATTCGAAGATATCACCCAGGCCAAAAATCTGGTCAGTGAGGATGAGATGAACTTCTCAAGACTTTTTCCTTGGATCAAGGACTTTCTCAGCCCAGAAATGAACATCTGGTCCAAGGTTAAATGGAG